CACACACACACACACACACACACACACACACACACACACACACACACACACACACACATATATATATATATATATATATATATATATATATAATATATATATATATTATATATATAAAGAAAAAACATAAACGATTCGAAAACTGCCACTTTTCCCAAAACATACTCTCCGACCGCCCTGACCCCCCCCCTTTCCCCCCAGATCCAGACGGCGGCGCCCCCGAAGTCGTCGAACGGCCTCGACAGCGACACGAAGCCCGGGCGCTGGCCGAACCTGAGCCGCCCGCAAGCCCCCAGACCCCAGCCCACGCAGCGCCCACGCCCAGCGGCCTCCTCGGGCGGCTCCGGCGGATCACCCATCACGTCACTCATTCTGGAGATGATCAAGCAGTACCTGACGGCGCCCTCGGCAGGTGAGGGACTGGGGGCGCGTGCTGGGGATTGGATGTTGGATGAGGGATTGGAGGGATTGGATGTTGGTTGAGTGATTGTTGTCTGTTTGTTAGTTCGCTGAGTGATTGGTTGTGTGTGGAGTGATTAGTTGTTGAATGATTGGTTGATTCGTGGGTAATTATGACTATACTAATGGTAACAGCAACAGTAAGAGTAATAGTAACAATTAGAATGATAATAATGATAGTAATGATATTGATGCTAATAATAATGATAATGTAATAATGATGATAGTAATGATAATAATATTCATAATAATAATGATAATGATCACAAAAATAATGATAATAATCATGACAGTGATAATGATAATGATATCGACATAAATACCAATAAGACCCTCAACGCCCACGCTAATCCAAGTCCCGCCCACAGCGCCCGCCGCCTCGAAGCCCCGCCCTCCACCAACGCGAGCCCCGGCAGCTCCGCCCACCCCTCTCCTCCTCCTCCTCCAGCTCTCCCATCGGCGTAGGGAACATCCTGCAGCTTCTCTTCGGCGGCTCCTCCAGGCCCCAGACCCCCGCCCGCCCGAAGCCGCCCGTGAAGAAGCCCCAGAAGCCCCCGCAGATCCTGGAGAAGCAGGATGCCAAGAGCTTCGTGGACATGGTGCTCGAGTTCATCAGACCCGTCTTCATCAGCATCATCGGCAAGGTGGGATTCTGTGGGAGTTTTGGAAAGGGGGGGTTAGGGGAAATCTGGGTGGCGGAGGAAAGGACTTGGGGTTTTGTGGGGGGATGGGGGGATGTTCACAATCTGAACTTTTGTCATCATTTATCATCACTTCAGAGATGTATCACCTGTTATATTGCCTTAAATAACCTCCCCCCAAATCGCTATCTATAATCGATGGTCTCACCCCAGTCTATTTGCACCATATGTAACCGCATATATCCATACAGTCATGGCAATGATAATCATATATATATATTATATATATATATATATATATATATATATATATATATATATATATATATATATATATATATATATATACATACATACATATTCAGTAATTAGTGTCACCTACAAGTACACCCTTTAAGATAGTCACCTACATGTCCACCTTAATGATAGCCAACACCGTTCACCACCTACAAATACTTGCACAATGATAGCCAACTACCAACACTTTTTGCACCTACAAGTACAGCCTCCATAAAGATAAAACCTCACCCCTGACGAGAACCTTTTCCCCGCAGGCGCCCGGAGAGAGCGGCGTCGCGTCCATCCGAGAGGTGACTCGCCTGAGCTCGCTGGGTCGCGTGGACGACACCCTGGTGGAGGAGGTCCTCTCGCCCTACTTCTGCCTCAAGAACTACTTCGTCAACAAGGCCTGGACGCTGACGGAGCGCGGCGTGAGGTCGGTCGTGAGCAAGTTCAACCCGGAGGAGAAGGCGAGGATGATGAGAATGATGCAAGAGTACTGAGGAAAATGGATCGAAGGACTCGGAAGACATTTCAGGGAGGTGGAGCGAGGCGAGAGATGATGAGTTCGCAGGATGACGAGAGAGAGAAAAAATGAATAACGGGGAGAAAGTCCAACAGGAAGAAGGTCGTAACTAAGAAGGTCTTGAGAGAAAGTTGAACGAGTGTGAGACGGCGAGGAACTCTGCACCGGTGATAGGATGGCATCCAAGTGCCACTTTCAGACTTCGTGGTTTTCATCATGGGGTTTCGTCACTTTTGAAAATGCGGAAATGGTGGATGGTAAAGTTTCTCTCGATATCGGTAAGCATCTTTCGTGGGAACATATTGCGATAATAGAAGTCAATTTAATAAATAAAAATACAAGAAAACGTTTGTAAAGAGAATACAAGATAATCAAATAACCACAAATCGATTAGCCAAGATCACGCTTCCCAATCCCTCTTTCTAAACTTCACAATGATGAATGAAAAATAAAGAAAAAACAATAGATGAAGGGGAAGAAAAAGAAATGAAAAAGTGATGCATCATACCTTGATATCCATCACTCGAAAACACTTCCGTGTATTAGAGGGATCGCTTGTGTAAATATTTTTTTTCTTGCGTAGGGATACTCACGCGCTTTACGTGAAACTGTGGGTGACTTTGGGCTCAGATCATGTTCAGGGGAAACAGACGCGGGTGCAAAGAGCGGCCTGGAGCTGCTCATGTTATCGTCTTTGTTGTTGTTGTTGTTATTGCAGTTGTTATTTTTTTCTTGGTTCACTTCCCCCTTCCCTTTTCCCCAAACCCCTCCCTCCTCCCGTATCCCTCACTTGCTCTGTGTATATATACAGACCTTTCACATGATGCACATAAAGTATTAACTTGTAAGAAAGGGAATTATGATAATAATAATGTTATTATTATTCGTTGTCAGTACAGTATTACAAGCATTGTATTTTTTTGTTTTACATGTTTTATTTATTCATTTCAAAATAATTCCATCCATACCCGGACACACACACACACACACACACACAACACACACACACACACACACACACACACACACACACACACACACACACACACACACACACACACACACACACACACACACACACACACACACACACTCTTACATAGCCCTGCAGATCAAATATGTCTATTTATAAACAATAATATATATATTTATGTATGTTATAGACTTTGGAGCAATTATGTTCCAGATTCCTCTAACTCTGTTTAGTAGGATTAGATAACGTAGTACAACATATGAAGATTTATGTAAGATCGCAGATATATATGTTTTAACTTATTGATATTTTGGATGGTACGGTTTCAGACTAACAGAATGTGTGTTTCGTAACTAACAGACTATATGCCACATAACTAGCAGGATTTTATCCCATACTTATCGGAATGTGGCTAAGAGTATTCACA